TGAAAAAATACTCCAGAGTCAAGACTTCAGTTTAGACTCAAGTGCAGAAGGTATGGTGACAAATAAGGAAGCTTAGGGAAAATTTATGTACATTACAGGCCTTAGGGAAAACTCACTCTCTTCACAGTCCCTGCTGTTTGTATTCATAAGGACTGTGCTGCATTTTCTACTTTATCTTACCCACCAGAAACTGAAAACACTTTTACATGACTCAGGAAGCTTTCCCAGATGATTACTTTAAGCCTAAAAGAGCAGTTGCAAATCTATGACAAAGGTACTTCCTTCAAGCTACACCATGTAGGAGTTGGTTCTTCATTACCTAAAGTATTTGCATCTGAAAGTGTCAGCTGCAAAATGGGTAGATGTAAAATTACATAGATTTAGCTAGGACAACATTAAAGAAAGCTAACATATTTTAATCATTTGCCTTTTAGAAGAAGGTTTAAGATTATTTGTGGGCCCTGGTGGAAGCACTTCTTTTGGAAGCCACCATCTACCTAACAGGTATGTAGCCTGAACAACGAATCCATAGGCAATACTAAATGAAAGTATTCATCTTCTGCATCTTCTACAGCAATTATTCTGCATCTATATTCTTGACCTTTGTATCTTTCTATTCTGTATCATTTAAAAGCACCAAAGAGCCAGATTGTCAGTTTTTAAAATAGGACACATAGTTCCAAAACAGAACTGACGTGTCAGCCATAAGAATTATAACTTTCAGAGTTTCTGAGGAGTCTCAGTTCTGAGGCTTTCAGATCTGAGCAACGTGTCAGTATGGACACAGGAAACAGTTTCAAATGGGAGCTCTACAGCCTTATTACGTTACTCTGGAGCAGGAAGAAAATTGTAAGTGTTTTACACATCTGCCTTTACAGTATCAAACTGTTATGTCTTCCTCACAACAAGCCTCATTTTTTTCAGTTTAGTTTTGCTCACAAATCCCGTTTCCTGTTATATTACTTGTTTCAATCTTGTTCATCTTTCAACTACTTGCAGCCCTAAACTCTTTTGATAATCTACTTCAGGTTATCTTATCATTTAGAACCAGAGACCTTTTTTTCTTCTCTAAACCTTCTTCAAACCTGATATATGACTTGACCTGAATGTTTTAATCTTCAGATGAAAAACCATGAAAACCAGGCAAGAATACGTTCTAATACTGTGTTTCTGCAGTCCAGTGTAACTCAACGTTTATAGCTGAAGAAATCAGAATAGCCTCAGTATTTCAGCAGTTACTATGGACTTAGGTATAAAGGCAGTTGATAATATATTGAAAGTCATAAAATAACTGGATTTTATACTTGCATGTAATACTAATGGTTAAATTAATTGTCTCATCTGCAAACTGGGCACATCAATACCTGTCTAGGATCACATCAAGGGGTACAGAACACACTCCTGCAGCACACAGAGATCTGTCCTAATGCAGCTGCCAGAACAGTCCAGGCACTGTACTAAGGCAGAGCTTGCCTTATTAATTTTTTACATAGTACTGCAATTTTCTGTGGAAAACCACCCACTGTGGGCTGTCATGTGGGAGGTGAGAGAGTTTTGTTTACAATTCAGAGTGAACAAAAGACTGAAGATGTTTTTCCTGTATCCTAATGTAAGATGACAATCAGTTTCTGGGTTTTTCAGACACACTGACCTGTTTATGTATAAATGCATATCAAGAGTATTAGCTGCATATGATACAAATGTGGGGATGGGTACCCTAAATGTGATGTTTAAGAAATTCTAGTGAAGTCCAACAGTAACTTCTTGTTCAGTAGCATCACTCTTTGTTCATTTTGAATGTAGTACAACAAAATCTCTTTAGTGCATTAAAGAGTAGGTGACTCCATGGTAATAATGACAAATGTTTTCTACCCTTCACATTTAGCTGGTTTGGTATTCACTGTTTGGTTGGTTTTGTTGGGGCTTTTTTGGGAAGGCTGTTGGTTGGGTTGTTTAAACAATACACTTGCTAATATGTGATACTTGCTATTTAGCTTCCATTTAAATGAACATTGAACTAACTTTTTTCAAACTTTCAGAGTAGGATCTGGAGCATACGAGCAGGTGGTGATAAAACGCTAAACTGGAATGTCAAATGAGGAAAACTTGGAGCTCTGGTGTTGATACTTCTGGTATTGTTTGCTCTGCTGCAAGAGCTGAGAATGACAAAATTAACTCAATGTGATCTTTTTCTGAGAAGGAGTGGAATGCCTCTTGCTCATAGAGCATCATCTTCTGTGGTATGAAGGCAATGTTTAGCTATATGTGTACCTTGTGAGAGCATTTGGACTGTTTTTGTAAGATCTGTCTGATGTTGGTGGAATTACTTAATTTCTGTGAAACATCTGTGGAAGCATGTCCCATTTCAATATTTTATATAAGAGATGACTTGCAGTGATGGACTTTGTTCGTAACGTTGTTTTTAAAGAAACTTCTGAAAGTTGGTCTTAAAAGAACCTGAAAAGAATAATTACTGAATTTGATCCTACATGCCATTTTAGTTTTACAGAAGCTAATTACTCCTATCAAGTCAGTTTTTATCAGGTCAAAGTTATGGCCTCCAAAAAACAGGCCAACTATGTTTTAACATAACCAAAATCTTCTCTTAAGAGTACTGAGCACAACTTCAACAGAAGAGGTTTAAAACAAACCCCCAAAACTAAATAGATCTAACCAGCCACTAATAGTTGTGTTAACTGTAAATTAAGGCTTCAGGTTTAAATGCGTCAAATGCGACTTCTTTTCATTCAAGTGATGAAAAAGGTGGGATTCCACACCAAAACACTAAGGCACAATAGCTTTTCATTAAGAAAGCTGCCTTGATTGTTAAATCTGGAGTTCAGCAGCTGCTCCCACAGAAACTCACTTCCATAATGCATGAGCATTGAGATTCAATGGGATGGTACTGTTTACAAACCTAGTCAGTAGTTTACTACCACTTAATTTTTTAAATTGTAGTTTAATCCTTCACAGTCAGTGCTTTGCTTGTGTTTTGAATGTGCCTTGCAGGACTGGGGGTGTACAGGGAGACTAAACCATTTACTAAGGAATTTAAGCTTTAAAACTAGGTAAACATCTATATGTACTATTATTAATGTAACTTGTAAAGAGAAGCACTTTATTGTAGACATACTCTGCACACTGAAAAAGTCTTAGTGTGCAACAGCTTTGTTGAACACTTCTTTTGCTATCTGTCCACTGTTACATTAGGTCAATGTACTGTATTTAAATTTGCACAAGTAGTGATTTGCCTGACAGGCAAGAAAGAGCTTTTTAAATTTTCATTGAGAATATGAAAAAATCCATTTTTAGAGGGATGTGTCAGGTAACAAATAGGTGTAATTAATTGTAAGCTGCAAATGACTTAATTTTTTTTAATTTAGTGGTAGTGTTTATCAGTTAAGGTATGGAATACGTAAAAATAGTGTTGTCACTTTTGAAAGCACAGAATGCTTCAAATTTTCCTCAGAGCAATGTTTGACACCTTTTAATTGATGTAAAAGTAGGCCATATTTAATAGGTTAAATTAGCAAAAGCAGACTTTGTTTTCCATAAATACATACAGAATTATTACATTTTTATTTGTATTTTTAATGAAATTTCAGCCTTCAAAGCCAGAATGCTGTTATTGAAAATGATGAATATGAGCTATTTCTCAGTTTTGGTACTTGCATACTTGTATTTCTACTGTTAATTATAATCTCTTTAGAGTATCTAATTAGGTAAAAGAATTAATACAAAGATTCTATTTTAGCTGCTCTTAATAGAAGAGTGGTATTATCAGTTTCTGTTTTCCACTGGAATTTTAAACAGAAACTACTCAACAGCTGGTATACAACTCTCTCTCAGAATATTATAGTCTCCTTTTCTATTATATAACTAATTCATACCAAAAAATCCCCTTGCAAGCAAAAGATGCCAGAAATTTGAATACATTCTTTGCTTTCAGTGGTCTTTGACACTGCTATACTTGTTGACAAATCCATTAAAACTAACAGGAGTTAAATGGTAGTTTACTTACATTTACTAGGAAAACTACATGTCGTTTGAGGAAAACAGACTTTTAAAAAACACTGTACAGCTGCTTATGTAATTCTCAAGGGAATTTCCATATAAGTTGATAAGTTGACACAGTTGATGGTCATAGATTAGATAATTTGTTTACTAGAAACAGTATCTTCTTGCCTGAGCAGATATTTTAAATAATAGGGAAATTGACATAGAAATCCAGCTTTTCATAAAACTGTATCTTAGTCATGTATTCTTCTCACTTGACGTACAACTCTTCATGAAGTGATAATCTAATTGTGCATCATGTAAGTGGAACATAACCTTCACATTTAGGTGCTGTATTTTCTTTTTTGTAAAATATGTTATATGAATACTGGAGACTTCCATGTTGTTAACTGTTTGGGACGTACTGGTGGATTATGTGTTTTTTTAACTGTATTTGAATACAAATCTCTCAGACATGGAATAAACTCATGTTTTCAGCTTGGAATCCATTCCTAAACAATTGTCTCTTTTTTTTAATGCAAAAAGTTACAAACTTAACTGGAAGTTTGAGTCTATTTGAGTTTCTCTTCCAGTTAATGACTTCTTTTTAAAATGCTTTGCTTTGTTCTGTTTCTGTGTTAACACAAAGTGACATCTGTATTATCAGGAAAATGTGTCATTTAGATCCCATTCTTTTTCTAATCTAGAATGAAAATTTTAAATTTAGAACACTGATGAGAAGTGTTCTGTTCAACTATCCTGACCATAAGCACTCAACAGATACCCACATTATTTCCCTTACATTCGGGATACTGCACTCTTTTCTTGATGTTGGTGTTGGAAGGGTGTTTTTGGTTGTGTTGTGGGGTTTTGTTTTTGTTAAATTTTTTTCCATCTAATCTATTTGCATTTCACAGTTTTGAACAAAAGCTGCACATGAAAACAGAAAATTTTTCAGCTACACCAGAGATAGGTTAGCATTCACAATTACTGCAGTTCTTTAATTTTTGTTTCAAAAACAGAACAAATGTGCCAGTTTCATATTTCAATTCAGCTGGAACAACATTTCGTTTTCATCGAGGCGGAGTTTTCATCTTGAAAAAGGCATCTATAAATTTTATAAAAATTAAGAAAAAAACGTGCCCTAAACTTATGTCTGACTCACATTATTCAGCACAACACAGTAGATGGTACAACAAACTATCTTTGAAGCTAACAAGAGACTAGCAGAAATAATCTAGTAACAACAGCTACAATAAAGCAATAGAAAGCAAACAGAAATACTTGACTTTCTTCTTGGGAATGAATTATTTGCTTTTAGCCCCTGATACTCTACTTGAAACCCCTATGAGTTACTGTTACCTTTGTCAGAAGCACTCACCTTCACTCAATCAAAGGTGCTGACAGATAAATACCACTGATGGAAGGTTAGAAAAGATTTGGTGGTCTAGTTAGCAGAACATACCATTTGACAGCTTCTAAAAAAAGCACTTTCATTACTTCAACTGAACTTTGTGTGAGAAATCTGATCTAATTCTCTTCATTTTCCTGTTCAGTATTGAACATCACAGCAGAACCATCACTGCTCAGTGTGACCTTGCCCGCAATAAGCTTGCATAACTTCTCAAAGGTACCACAAAGTCGATTCACTTTGGGAAAAGAAAAGATTGTTTTGAGAGGTATGTAAACCTCATTTCCACTGACAAATGGTTCCATGTTTTTTTCAACAACCAGTTTTCCAAGATAGTCAGAAAAGCAGTCCATTGAAGGTCGGAATTTGGATTTTCTCTCAGGATCATCACCATACTCCTCACGTTTTGACATTAAACGGTGCTTAATGATTTGGGCTGTGAAAATAACTTCACTGATCACTGCATTCTGCAAGTACTTCTCATCTTTAAGACTTGGGTACACTGCTTTGAAGACCTTTACGATATACAAGAATACATAAAATGTTTATCACTATCACAAGCTGAGATTTTAACATTTGCTGTCCAAAACTGCTAAAATGTGAATATAATTTTTTATTTAATCCTGTTTAACTTATTAAACAGTTTTAGGTAACAAAAACCAGGCAATATGAGCTGTTTTGCTTTATTACAGCTACACTGGCAGTTAACTGAACTTAAATATACACCCCAAAACCCAACAGGCTATACCTGCAAGCAACACTTGCAGATCAGGCAAGGTAAAGCCCTGTAATTCTTTACCTCTTCTTAATAATTCTCTTCTCGCATTACAGAGTTCTGGGGACAGTTCTATAGTGATGGAGATTCTAAACTACTCCTGAATTGTCATCTGGAAACCAAGACTACATTATGTCATTTATTGTTTTCAAAGTCAAACATTAAATATGCTCTCACGGGTGTAGGGAATGCTAAAAATGAATTGTGACTTCAAAATCTGTGGAAATACAGTGTGTTCTACACTGAGCTATACCCCAAGGCAATTAAGGAAACTAAGCAGGCAATCTCAATCCCACCAGGTTACTTTATACCAACACACTACCAATGTGTTTTATACCAACACACTACCAATGAAGTTCCATTGTCTATAATTATTTCTCACTTTCCAATTACATCTTGAAATGTTGAATTATTCCTATAAATTAGTTACCTTATAAAAATTAATTTGTTAAGAAACACACAAAATTAACATTTTTGTTTCATCTCAAAAGATACCCATGTCAAAACTCTCTCCAAAATGACCCTATAACGGGGGCTAATGAAAGAAATCACCATCACCTAGATCTATTTCCAACTCTGGTGAGCATTAAAGAGCACTTCATTAATCTATTAAGGGCAATAGATGACAGGTAACATTTCACATGCATAGAAATTTCCAATACAGAAATTACAAATGTTTTTATAGCTTGGAAACCATAAAAGATAAAGCCATAACACAACTTTACGTTTCAGTTCAGGTCACATTTAGTAAACAATGTTCTTTAAAAAATTTTACGTATCTGAAAAATCTGTGTCATTACCAACAGCCATATAATAAATAAATTTAATGACTAGAGGAAAAATAGCTAGCAGAAAAGAAAAAAATAATTCCAAGAATAGGAGTATCTTAAGATATGAATGATTATCCATATTGTTATTTAGCAAATACCCTAAAAGTTTAAGGTCTTTGTACAACTGGAAATACAAAGAATGAGACTGTCTTGCTGTGATTGTCAGCAATATTTCATGGTAACAACCTCACAGGCAGTCACAGACAACTTTACTCATTATTTATACCTCTAAAGGAAGAAAATAATACTTACTGTTTTGTAAACTGCTTCCATGGGTTTCTCAGACTGAACAGATTCAGCAGTTTGAGGATATTTTCTAAAAAACACACCTATTTGGGTACAAAACCCAACCTTCTCCATTCCTGTTGGTGGGTGCCCGACACCAGTAAATTCCACTGAGTAATCATAGCATCTAGCAGTCTCTAGAGCCCTAAGAAAGACCAATTATTCCAATTATGTGAAATATTCATCTTTCCATGTGATAAAGATCCATTCTTAAGGAGAATCAAGACTCTAAGGCTGCAAAGGCTTGAGCATCATTTCTCTAACAATACTCCCATGCCTAAAGATAAGCAGTCACATCTTGTTGTACCAGAGCTGTAAGATGCCTACCATAGTCTGAATCATTTAGTATCAGTAGTTTAGCCATCCAAACATTACTGTTTCTTCTACAATATGTGCCTAGAATGTTAATGCTCACAGTTGCTTAGTCACCAACCTGGAAGTCAGCTAAAAACTGATTTTCAAGAACAAGATTATTTGAGAAAAACCCGTAAAAAACATACACACCTTTAAACCACAAGAGATCACTTAACAGAGAAAGTGTGATTTGCTGTTAATATAGAAAAACTAAAATCTACCTAATCAAGGTTACAACAGTGTATATAACACCTAAATTAAAAGTATCTTGTAGTACATCAGCCAGTGAACAAATGGGGCAGGGAACCAAAACTGCGCTACCTACCTGCATCATTCTCCATGGAAAAGAAGAAAACTAAATTAATATCTCATGTATTTTAGAGAATAATGTAATATTTCTATTTCATAACACAAAGGCTGTCTCATGTTTACAGCGCAAAAAAACCCCAGATTTCTTCAGTGATATAGATATTTTAAATTCTATCTAAAAGCAAAATCTAAACATACTTGAAGTCAAAGAAATTTTCTCTAAGATGTCCTAAGGTAGCTAATTACAGGCAGGTTTTAGTATCAGTTTGTAGGGAAAAATACATGCTTCCAGCTTTGCAAAACTGTTTACTCAAAAATCACTGGATACTTTAAAGTGTATGGCAGAAACAACATAGTTTAAGGGGCAAAATTTCCAGGAGAGATACACCAAGAGTTGGCTACCTGAGGTATGGCATTCTTTACTGTACCATGTATTTTCTTCCGCAACTGCTTGACAGTTGAATGTTATCAGAGCATCCCATTTTCCCTCTGTTTTATTTTTATTACATTCCTGATATTAAGGGTAAGATAGATCTCACGTAACCCTCTGTCACATGCATATGATTTGCTTTAAATCCTTCATTGTGCCATGATCCATTAAACTATCCTGTGTTCAACATGCCCCACTGCTGTGGTTATCTGATAAATCTGCTTGCATACTCTCACTGAGTGCTTTGATTACACACCATATAAAGCAAGTCCACTCCTTGGATTTTATGAAGAATTACTGTAGCAGGGTATTATACAAAAAGATTGATACCTTACATTTCAATTGTGTTAATTGTAATAAAGATACATAAAGAGTAAGTAAAAGGTTTAAATCTTTTTTGTAGAGCAGTTATAGTAAAAGCCAATTTAACAACCATCATAAAATACAAAATCCACAGAATATCCTTAACTGCTCTCAACAGCAAAGAAACCACCAAATCAGGAGGTGACACTTCACTGACAGAAAACCACAGAAGTGAACCATTCTGAAAATGCACAGCCATTCATTTCTCACGCTACTGGGCACTCAGAGCAGCACCATATGCACCCAGCATATGATGATCAGTATCTTACCAGCTTTGAAACTGTGCTTGGCTCCACTCGAATTTGTGGTCTGGATGCCTGTATAACATCACTCTTGAAAGCAAAGAGTTAAATTCAGAATTTGGAGTGCTGATCACAACTATGCTTGGAGCCATGAAACCAAACACCACTTCAGGAAACTTCCTCAGCTCTGATTCTTCCAGGTGTTCTATTCTGAAAAGAATAAATTGATGTCTGTATTTAAAAACACACTGCTATAATCTTAACCACCAGTCAAAAGAACCTCAAACCCATATCTGTAACTTGTAATTACACCTATCTCTGCAATATGAGCACAGGCACTGTGGCCAAGTGGCAGCACATGGCATTTTGTCTGAGCAAATCTCCTCTTGCATTTTGTACTTTTTCATCAGTATCCTCTTCCTGCCATAAGCACTACCTGAATTACTTAGTGTGGTTAACTTAAACACAAGTTAGGAGCCACTCTTCTGCTTTCTACTTTTCTAATTCTATTCTTCTGCTTGAAAGGTTTGATCAAGCCTGTTTGGAATATGGAAAAATTCCAAACTGAACTCCAATGGACTTAAAAATCATTTTGCATTGTCGTAATACTCACAGTTCAATGCAGGTCACCAAGTCAAAACCAAGCATGCAAGGATCTTTGTGGGCAACTGAACCATGATGCAAGGTAACAGTTAGGGATCTTTCAGATGGCTGCAAATAATCAACAGGAAGAGGAGACAACGTATGCCTACAAAAGTATTAAAAATATGACGTTACAGGAAGGACCTTAAGACAAGATTCATAGTGCGTGAAAATGAACTGGCAAACACCCGGCACAGATACCTCATGAATTTCAAAAAGGTGAACTATTTTACATGGATGTAAAGGAGCACATGCAATACAAACACTTCTAACTACCTACGACAGGACAGAAAGAACAGAAGTTAATCCAGAAACTGTCCTTCGTGTTTACAAAAATTTCCATTATACTCTCAAGTCACTTGGAAAGCCACTTGTAAATTCTGATAATAGTTCAATTCCAGACAAACAGTAACTCTGCCTTAGACAAGCTTTGCAGGGTTTTAGGGGTAGTTTTAGGCAAGCATATTACCTATTTTTTCCAAGTAAAATACACTGAGAAACCAAAGTACATGTGCAAATTTCATTCTGAAGTACAGCATTAGACAAAACACACAATAAATATTACATATAAAAGGTTACTTCTCTTCATTCTTGAGAAAGAGCGAGAGATAACATCCAGATCCTGCATATTCACTGAAATTGTGTTGATCTGCTTTCAGTAAATCTACATTCATGCACTGGACCAACGCTTCAAACATCACATAAACCTCTCATTTTAGAGAGGTTCTAAACCAGATACCACACACTGAGCTAACCTTCCTATTTCAAAATGATAAACAAGTCCCCACCTTGGTGACTAAAGTTCCACGTACATTTCAAAAAGATCAAAACTGATCTTTCTCAAGACAATAATGTCACATATAAGTACATATAGATATTCCTAATACCACGCATTAGTGCCTTTACAAACAGTGTATTTCTCAGATGTGCACACCCTGAGGCCTCTGCATGACCCAGACCTCTGGCTACACTAGCTGATGTTACGGGCACCTGCAGGCCAGGAGTCCCCAGGCACAGATCCAGTGTAACTAACAATGACAGGACTCTCCATTTGCCAAGCTGCTATTTCTGCAGTTACCCTAATTTTGAAAGCCTCTACAAGAAATGCTGCACCACGCCACTTGTATTTGGTTTGCATGGCAAGTTGGCCAGTGGGCTGTAGAAGAAGCTTCTCCATGCTGGAGCAGGCTCCTGGCAGCAACCTCTGGAGAAAGGAGCCCACACTGGAGCAGCTTGGCTGGCAGGACTTGTGACCCAGTGGGGCGCCCACGCTGCAGCAGGCTGCACCCTGTGGAAATGGACCCGGGCTGGAGCAGCTCATGAGGAACTGCAGCCCGTGGGAAGGACCCGTGCTGGGGCACTTCATGCAAGTCTGTCTCCCCCATGGGACAGACCAGGTGCTGGAGCACAGGAACGACTTCTATCCCTGAGGGGGAAGCAGCAGCAGGAATAACATGCAAACACACAATGAACTGACTGTAATCCCCATTCTTCATCTCTCTGCAACACTGCAGGAGAGGAGGTAGAGAATAGGCAATAAAGTTAAACCCATGAAGGATTAAGAAGTAGGGAGAAGGTATTTTTAAAATTTGCTTTACTTCTGATTATCCTACTCTGATTTTGATAATAAATTCAATTCATTTTCCCAAGTCAAGTCTGGTTTGCCCATGATGGTAACTGATGAGTGATCTCTCCCTGCCCTTTAACTCATCAACACTTTGTTTTATTTTCTCTCTCTGTCCAGCCAAGGAGGGGGAATGATAGGGCAGCTTTTGGTGAGCTCCTGGCTCCAGCCAGGGTCAACTCACCACACCACTAGGTCAAGACAAACACAAACCTCAAAACAATTAAAGAGCTTACATTTTCTCTTTCATTACATTTGCACAGATATCTAGCCCAGCTAACACTTCAATGCAGCTGCAGAATTTCAGCATCCAGAGAAGGCTGCAATCAGCACAGCCTAAATCTGCCACCTGTAAATTAGATATTAAAAAACATATAAATGCTATATAGTTATAAGTAATTTCAGAGACTTGCATAAAACTAAAATTCCATACTTATCAAAATAACTTTTTAATGATACAGCATTTCAGAATCATAACTAAAATTCACAGCTGTGAGCAAGCAGGATAGATGCATATTTGAAAATTCTTTTTAAAAGATGCATATAAAGATCCTGCAAGATTTTTTAAAAAATAATTCACCTTTTGTTACTACAGCTATAAACAAGTATACATAGGACATCCCACTGACTCTGGAGAATGTCTTCCACATGAGTAACAGTAAAGTATGATTTGAGGTACAAAAGCTGCAGTAATTTTCACATTCACCACTGCTTTTCACTGGGCTGTTCTCCCTCCAAAACACTGAGAACAGGCTCACCAGCAGCCAAGTTAGCAGCAAAGAATCTGCATAAAACAATTTACAGGCTCAGTCTAATGTTTCAGTGGGAACTCTGGGGATGTTCAGACCATGAAGCCAAATAATAGATATTCTTTCCTGTAAGCTAAAGAGATAGCTGAGTATGTAAACCAACCCCCACTGCTCTTTCTCAGGCTCAGTCAAGGTTGAAGCACACTGCTGTTCCCCACATGAAAATCCTGAGTTGTTTGTATCCAGTTTATCTACTGTCTGTGTAAAAAAAAGTTCACCCTCCCACCCATTCCACATCCTAAATCAGAAAATTCAAATCTTTAAAGACAGATGCAACACTGGTGAGTACATTCTATTTTAAAGCATATTACACTGCCATGGCATCATAGACTGGATTAGATTTTTATTAGCCACTAGAAGTAAGTGTGATTACATAAGTAATGCAGGTGCATCAGTTTCTTGCATGCCCCCATACATATTAACATCAGTTTAAGGGTTAAAGACTGCAGACTTGAGAAGAAATTTTTGGGAAGGAAGTGAGGAAGACACATTAGAAGAGAGCAAACACTAAATGTTGTTACTTAAATGTTTAACTTTTCGCAGCGAGTTGTAAAACAAAAGTTCTGGCATATTGGGGGACACACGTGACAACACAGGTGGAGGGTCACAAGACCATAAGAAAGTGGAGATGAGTTAGCCTCACATAATTCCACACTTTCAGTGTCACTTCTTATCTGAGACTATTCATGCAAATGATTAAATAAACCTAATACGCTACATGGAACTAACAGCTCTGGAAAGTAAAACCCAACTATGAGGAAAGCAACTTGAACAAATTCCACAGCGTTACATTAAAAACAGAATGACCACTACTTTCAAAAACAGTCTAAGGCATTTCTCTTGTTTAAATATTCACCTCTTCCTGCCAAGTAACATTAATTTCATGCACCCCTGAAAAACAACATATTGCAAGGTATCTGCTAAGGCCATTCAGTTTTAACAGTTCCTTCATGACTATTGTTTGGTAATTAGGTCAACAGGTTATCTACCCATTTTGTGTTCCTGAGATGCCAAGTGTCAATTTACTTTCAAGTTTATAACCTAAAGACACAAAACATACCAACCTTCTTAGGTTTGTATTTCTCCACCAAATCTTTAACAAACTGGTAGCGTTGTTTGTACAAAGGAGGTTCAAATTTAATAATTTGTGTAAACTCTTCTTTATAGTTCTTATCCATAGTATTCCGGCAACCCTAAAATAAAAAGTTAACTCTTATTTTCTGAAGCACTTCATAACATATCTAATTACAAAGTTTGCTGTTTTCAGTGGTGTTTGAGTCCCAATTAAGCAGAGGCAGACCTGATCTGAGTTCTATTCAAAGAATTACAAAAACATGACCAAAAAAAAAAAGACTAGCCTGTTATCTCCACGTGAAATTATGTAAATAACCTTATGTAAAAGACTATAAATCATATACAAATCTAAAAAAAAGCAAATTTCATAATCTGTCACTCTCCATCCAGCACACCTGGACAGAGACCATAACCAAACGCTATAACCAAACGCATCTGGGGCAAGCCTGCACACAACTCGATTGCTCTACGAGGTCTTTTAGACACAAATAAAAATATGTTTTTGTGTATATATACGCACAAAAGCCGGCTCAGTGTTCAGGTCAGTCCTCCGCCGCCCCGGGAGCTAAGCGGGCCTGCTGGGCTCCCCTCAGCAGCGCCCGCGTGAGGGGCCGCCCGCGGCACCGCCCGCCCGACCCCCGCCGGCTCCTGAGCCACCCTGGCTCCCGACCCCCGCCGGCTCCCGACCCCCGACAGCCACTGCCTCCAACCCCGACAGCCACTGCCCTTACCGGGGCTCCCCCGCGCTTCCCGCTCCACCTTCTCCCCCACGGCGAGCTCCCGCCGGGCACTAAGCGGCCGCCCCTACGGGGGTGAGGCCCCTCCGGGGAGCGCCGGGAGCTGCAATGGACAGCGCCAGTGCGGGGGATGTTCCCTAAGGCACTTCTGTGCGAGGGTACGTCGGCACCAATGACTGTCCCCGGGCCCACTGTTCTACTGATCCGTGCCAGCCTCCCTCAGTGTCATTAAAAGGTGATTGGCGGCGGCGAGCGGTGTCCCTACTTTTTTTAAACTAAACCCCGAAAATCTCGCCCCTCCTCATGCAAGTCCCTTGGGGTGCTGCTGTGTCTAAAGCCGTGTGTGCCCCACCGCAGAGGGAAAGCGCGCTGTGGAGCTGGTTGTCACATACAGTGCACTAGCCCTGCCTGGGTGAGTGCGGTAGAGAGCACAAACATCCAAAATCGATGTCTTTGGCAGCGTTTCATTAAGTATTTACCACGCCAGGGCAAATTCGTCTCTCGGTGAGCAGGCAGCTGTGTAGCTGCATGGTGAAAGTAGAAAGGAAAGCTTGGCTCTAAATGTCCCATTTCTTCTGTTAACAGCATGTAAAGCGTTTGCTAATCACAGGGTAGGGCTGTTATTAATGAAGATATAGTGTAGGCCTGGGACCTAGAAGGAGGCAGGACTCTGGTGGCAGTGAGGATAAAGTCAGGTAAGTTAGGCAATTCAATGCCCATTAAGATTTCAGAATATTCTAGAAATGTATATGCCAACTTTTGGCTAACATTTTAAGTTTCGTGGCCTATTCAGTGTGCACGTTACTCTTTTTGGCTGTTGAGTAATTGATTAACCCTGAAATATCACTTAGTACTTACATCTCAACTAGATGATTCTGTAAATTCTGCCCAGTGGTTTTTCTTGTTGGCTGTACTCTGTAAAACCCAGTTGGGATTCCTGAGGGAAGAAAATCTAATTTGGAGCAAATGGATTTATAGGTTGCCACTATATGAGAGATTTCAGCATCACCACCAGAGAGTGAAAGAAGTATAAAAACGTGATCTTATAGAGCATAAAAAATACTGAGGTTTGGAATGCATTTGCCTAAATATTCCAACAGGAAAAGGTAAATGCATGGAAACACAATCAGGACAATAGAAATTATAACAGAAGTATTGTCTGTCTTGAAGTGGTTGCACAACAAAAATTAAGTACTCCAAACGACAATAACAGAACCACTCATGATCAAAGAAAAGTTACTGCTCTAGCTTACTACTGCCAGAACAAGATCACTTTCTTGGAATTCGTTTTTCTGATTAGTTCTCTGATTTGATATGAGATTGTTAAATGGGTATTTACTGCATCAATATGGTAGAGCCATGCAAGTAATGAAAATTTTGTGAATGTCTTTGGAAATCAGCCAAGATGGAAGGAGGAGGCCAAAAAATGACTGGTGCTTATTTCTAGAAAAGAGGAGTGGAAAGCCTCGATAGCAAAACAGGCAGCTTAGAGAAACTGTTAGCTGCCAGGGCCCTGATAACACTTTTCTGCTATAGCACAAGCTCTAAGGTACTTGAAGGGCCAGGGTAATGAAAATGAACTGTTTCTCAATGTTTCAATGTGTAATGAAGAGTGAAGGTATTTTTATGTTACTTCCAACAGTACTTATCTCCTGTTTTGTACATTAAAAATCTGGGTTAGTTTAAGCATGTAGAGATGCTATTCCCATGGATGATTTTATACCAACTTCTCCCTGTACCTGTTTCCTGATGCACTGAGCAATGGAGAGCCCTTCTGTGTACAACTGAGCATTCTTTGGCACAGCTTGCAGTCATTTCACTGAACTTTCAGTTAATTTTTTGCACAGTCATTTGATGTTTAGAATATTTTGGCAATTCTTCTAAATCACGCTTTTGTACTTCAGGTTTAAAGACTGACACCAAAGTATGTAGCCAGTTATGTTGGCTTTGGGGTTTTTGCTTTTGCAGGCAAAACCAGGGATTTTCTCTTTGCTGTTAGTAATTATATGTAGACAGTGATGCTCTCTTAGCTGTTTAACCTAATTCTGCTTGTTCCAAGTCTGTGTGTAGGACTGCAAGTTTCAGAAAGAGCTGTTGAGCTGGAATTGATCAGCAGGGAACAGTTACTGTTTCCTGGGTGTGTGACAGGGTTCTCAGAAGCTGCTCAGCCAGGTCCGGGCCAGAGCAGCGGGCCTCACACACAGCACGGCATCAAGCGAACAGACTGGGCCATGCCCTAGCCATCACTGCCCTCCGCGGACACAGCACGCTGAACGCGCCCAACATTTCTTCCTTTCCCCCTCCCCAGTAGGGATACTGTGGATGCCCCATCCCTTCAAGCCCAGGCTGGATGGGGCTTAAAGCAGCCTGGTCCAATGGAAGGCGTCCCTGCCCATGGCAGCGGGTTGGAACCAAAGAGATGGTCTTCAAGGTCCCCTTCCCACCCAAGGCATTCTGTGACTTCTTTGCTTCTCCACTGCCGTGGAGGCAGAAGCGACCAGAACCAGCTATGCCGTGGCCTCGTTACCAACGACTATGGACCGAGGGGACCAGTTTTCAACTATGTTAAATCCGTGGATGAATCTATTGAACTCCGTATGACGGTGTCAGCAGCTGTCCCCCTTCGGGTCACAGAGTCCTTCGCTCTCCGTGGCGGTGATGTCCCGCCCGCCGGGCCCCACAGCTGCCGCGAGGCGAGGCGAGGCGAGGGCGGGCAGAGCCGCGGCAAACGGCCGGGCGGGCAGCGGGCGGGCGGCGCCAAGGCTCGGAGCTCCCCCGCCCTTTCCCCGCCGCTCCCCGCGGGTCGGTGACGCGGCCCCGGAAGGTGCCGCCGTCACTTCCCCGGCCGCCATCTTGTCGGGGCTGAGGCAGCGCCCGCCGGCCCCGCTCCGTGTGCGCGGCCCGCCTGCCCCGAGCGCCGACCCGCCATGGCCAACAACAGCCCCGCAGTGGCGAACTGCCAGGGGCAGCAGGTGGCCCAGCACCCGCCCGGCGCCGTCCCGCCCGTGCAGCAGCCGCTGCAGAGCGGGGGCCCCAAGCCGGCGGCCTCGGGCAAGCAGGGCAACGTGCTACCGCTGTGGGGCAACGAAAAGACCATGAATCTGAACCCTATGATCCTCACCAACATCCTATCGTCGCCCTACTTCAAGGTGCAGCTCTACGAGCTCAAGACCTACCACGAAGTGGTGGACGAGATCTATTTCAAGGTGAGCCCGCGGGCCGCGCTGGCGCCGGGCCCGGTTTGGCTGCGGCCCGCGCCTTTTCGCCCCTTATCTTGCGGTGAGGGTTGGGAGTGAGTGTCGCTTGTGTTGCTGAGCTGGGGGAATCCAAGGCATTGCCTTCTCTGCCTCACCAAAAAGGCGCGTTCCGCATCGGATTTGGAATTGCCGAGCTGTAAATGGGTTTCGAAGAGGGCAGCGTGAGCCGGGGCGGTGGGGGCGAAATGGCCGTCTGAGGGCTGCGCCTTCAGCCGGAGAGCGCGGCCAGGGCGCAGATCTGTGCCGCCGCCAGAGACCGGCCCTCCCCGCGGCGCGGAGCCGCCGGCACGCCCCGTAACACCCGGCAGGGATGCCGGTGACCCTGGGTGTCTGCGTGTGGCGTTCATTCTCACTTCCACGTTAGCGTTCCCTCCTCCGTAACTCAGCTTACGACTTAACGAGTTCGTTTTAGTGCTTCTCTTGGCGTTAGGTAAGATGTGCTGGGGAGGTGAATGGTCTGTATCAGGGCACCCATGTTTCGGTTCTTGTTTTGTTAGCAGGATTGAATCAGTTTTGCACCGAGGCTTCCATCAAGCCACTCTCCCAGGTAGAGGTATGCATAATTAATGCTAATCAACGCAGCCACTTTCTTTGTTCTGATAACGAGACCAAAATTTAGATAATTCGAAGTTAGATAATTCATTTAGTCACCTGTGTTTTGGTCGTTATTGGCGTATTTTTTTCAGGTGAATTCATTTTGCTTGATAATGTTAATGTGTCAGCTGGTGGGTTCCAGTATATTTGAAATAAATAAAATAGAAAGTAAAGGTAGCCTTTTTGTTTCATTTATACAAGCCAAATCAAGTTACTTAAGGCACCATAATTGTGAAAAAGAATTCCACCACAGTATTTCGAGATTTTTGGCAGTTTGTACTTACTTATGCTACTCTTTTTTTCATGTAAAGATAGCATTTCTCTGCCTGTGCTCTGTCATTTGGAGCTGATTATTTATTTCTCCTAATACTTAGTGTAACATATATTGTCGGCAGCATCTCTCCAGTTAATTTACTACATGCTGCATGTGTGAGAGACTCATGACTCTGAATGGAAAGTAGCGGAGTTTACTTATGCAGTTGATTTTTAGAGCTCAAAAAGTTATGAAAGAAACATATTTTCAGA